TTCGAACGCATCGAATGCATCGGGCGGGATAAAGATTTCAATGCGAGGTACGTAGATATGTTAGGAGACTTCAACGCAAGGTAAGCAAGTACTATCATGAATACACTGTTGAATTTATATAATGTCGAATTATATCCAATTTGAGTTATTTTTAATTATATCTGTAGATCATCACTATTCATACTCAATATATTATTAATTTGATTAAAACAATGGAGTTGAACAATTTAACTCAAGAAAATGTATTAAATTTGATTCAAATTTAATTTATTATTTATTAGGTGCACACGTTAATATGGACGATGTTTATTAAAACTAACCGAAATAAATTGATTTACACTTCGACACATTGAAAAAAAAGATTGGTTGCTGCAATAATTTAGATAGTAAAATATGGCATAACATTTTTAATCGGCTGCAGCAATCAGTTTTTGATTGTAGCAGCAAATTTTTAGTCTAAATTATATATTAACATTGCGGATAGGTTAACGCAACTAAAAATTTGCTGCTACAACCAAAAACTGATTGCTGCAGCCAATTAAAAATGTTATGTCATATTTTACTATCTAAATTATTGCAGCAACCTTTTCATAAGTGGAAGTTAAGAAAAAGATTGGATTCAGAAAAAGATTTGGTACTCCTTAATATCTAATAATGTAGCACTAAGATTATTTCATGATGACGTCGCAAATTTGCAACGTTAGTTTAAACAAAAAGTTGTCGTATTTAAATTTTTTCACCCTCTCTTTACATTCAACTTACAAAAAGAACCAATTTAATAAAACTCGTTCCACCTAACATTTTAACTTGTAAACATAAAACATATTTCATTTGAAAATATCTTAATAACAATTAATGCGCTTCCGATTGAACATAAAAGTGACTGGCGCTAAAAATGCAATAATGAATTTTATCGGTATCCTATATAAAAAGCAGTTCAATAAATCGCTTTCCATTCGCGGCGTACGGCGCGTTACGTCGTGTGGCATCCGGACGTTTCGCTCGTCGAAGGATCGTGGGGAGCAACAAAGAGCAAAAGACGGAGTCAATAATATCACGTAAAACACCCACACGAGGTGAGGTGAGGCGGCTCGGCTGGCTGGCTGGCTCCCCGAGCAGCGATTGAGGCACGGCCCGGCCGTAAGTCTCGCACGGGCATAAACCAATCCTGAAAGGAGAACGCGATGGAATGGGGTATCCATTTCACGAGCGATGGAGACATCGGGGGTACCTCGTTCGATCCCAGCTTCGTATGCTAATTTTCCGGCTGTACGCCGCGCCACGCTGTCCGCTGCTCTCGGCTAGCCGCGAAGAGCGACACGGAAATAGGAGGAGGCCCTTCAGGAATACGTCGAAGAACTCGTCCAGATCTGCGTTAAATCTCACGGTTCTTTACTTAGAAGTAAAGAAACCGTCCGCATCGTACGCGTCGAAATGAGAGATACATCATTGGATTGCTGAATTTTTTATGTTTAAACAGCAAAGCGAATAGTACGACATATTTTTTAAAGCAATCATTTAAAAAAACCTGCTATCCAATTCTTAAGATTGTAATCAATTTGATTGCTTTGTAAGTTGAAGTTAAATTAATTTATATAAATTAATCGATTTTTTTCTTTTCTCATCATAAATAAAGAATTTTTTTTTAATGTAATCATATGATGTATCAATTGGATCTTATCGATACGATATTCACACGTATATTAATCGCAATTATCGTTATATAAACACAAGTTCCTCGTGGAACTGTTTGATACATGTCGACGCACCTTGCAGTGGCAATGGCCCTTACATCGTTTCACCTGCAAATGACATTAAGCGACCCGCATCTTTGTCTTATCTTACACCTTCATGCAACAATCAACTCTGCTACCCTACACTCCAGGCGGCTGTTGAATTTTTCATCTAACGACCGTTGTTACCGCGTTATTTCCATCATTGGACTTCCACTTTACCGCCAAACCTGCCGAGAGCGTAACCTGGAGGAACGAGGGTTCCCTTCGGTGCAACCTTCGCAAAATTTTCGTTTGGAATACGTAGGCACGTGCGTGCACGCACGGAGACCTCCCGCGGAGTACTTGACGACTGATAAAAATGTCCCTACTTGATTCCGCCTCTCTGCAAGGAGTCTCTACCTCGCCCCACGCCCGCCTTTATCTCGTCTTATTTGGTACGGACGAATGACGAAGGACGCACGAGATTACTGCGCTGCTGCCCGTCGAGAGACGCATCCCGAGTGCGGTAGGTACCCCGCAAGAGTCAGTCCGCCGGATGATAAAATGACGGGGGATGAGACTGGACCGCATGTGATGTGCGGACACTATCCTCGTTATGCTCGCGAGCAGCATGCGCCGCATCAGTGAATAATGAGTCCTGCGGAATTTCAGTGCAGGAATCCGTGACTTTTCAACGTAACATAATTCCACTCGGAATTCTCGGAAGTAAGGACGTAAGGATAATTCGCATAGGAAGAAGTTGTCGATTAATTTTCTTAGGTTGTAAGCGTTAAAAATATGCAATTATATACAATTGCGGTGGCAAATTATACAATATTGAGGGAAAGGTACCAAAGAAAATTCGAAATAATATGAATTTTTTAATTATAAATAAAATTCTGCGAGATTGTTCTGTACGATTAAATCGTTAAGAAACATGTGTAAAAATGTCTTTAACTTCGCAACTGCGTCGTTTTCTTCTTCGAAGGAAGAGAGAATTCTCTCAAAGGTATCTTTCTCTGAAGCTCCAATTGAAGCGCTTGAATCTACGCAGAACTCGCGGACGTACGCATGAATGTTTCTCGGCGTTTCTCAGCCCCATCGCCGTCGTCGTCGTCGTCATTCTCGAAGTAACGCTAAAGATAATTTATGTAATTCATTCGGTTAATATCGGCGCGCCGTGTCGTAAAGCGTTCGCATAACCAATTTGGCACTAAAGACCCCGGCACGAGGGCCCTTTAAGGCCCTTCTCGCGGTGGGCAGTGCCATAACATTATGGGTTACGAGTCGTCCCGTGCCTCTCGTCGTTCACATCCGTCGCAGTCATCTTCGCCATCGCCGTCGGTTCCCCTCTTTTCTCCGCAACGTTCTGTTGCCCCACGTTGCCCCTTTTTTCCAACCTTCACCTTTTTCTTCGCGTTCGTCCGGGCGTCAGGTGGAGAAGTTGTACGCGGCCGATGGCGGATGATATTAGCATGGTAACTGGTGGCCCCAGCAGGCGCCTTATTAAATTTGTACCATAAGCAATATCGGGATGTGGCCCGGGGCCGTTTCAATTTGCCGGTCTGGAAATTTAAGGCTTACTCTATCTCACTCATTGCTACCGCGTCATCGCTGTACCGATGATGCACCGCGATTACTTATCGTAATCACGAATTCAACGAAGGAAGACGTAAATCTTTATCCATTCACGACTGTTATTTTTTTTTGCAGTCATTCAAAGTCGCACCAACTTCAACGACACTTCACTGTCCTTTGACGATGCTTCACTACGTTGAAGATGCTTGAAGACGAGTGGTAGTTTAAAATTCGTTAATTGCAAAGTGGAAGACAGTTAAGAACGAGCAGGTGGATCTTCCTGCAAGAGCAATGAGCCGCAACACATCTTATAGGAGCTCTACAACATCTCTCTTCACTATCTTGCTGTACTACGTTCAAAGTCGCAACAAGTGTTCCGTTGCAATTGATTTTGAATAATATTAAACAAATTATCTATTAATGTGAATACATAACAACTAGGAAGTGGAAGCCTTAAATGGTCATGCTGGATCTTTAGTGCTTAAATAATTTGATGTGAATTTATATACAAATCGAATCCTGCAAACTGCGCATCGAATTTAATTTTCAGTCTTAAAACGCAATTCTAACAAAATTAAAGTAATATTATAAAGTAATATTAAATTAAATTGACAAGCAATTTAAATAATATTGATATTCATAGGCATTTTAGAATAATATTAATTTTTTATCAATTGCCTCATCGTATTTTTTTTGTCTTACTGCGCGAAATGTAAATTGTGTAAATTGTGAAGTAAACTATCTCATGACCTTAATATTTTGCTATCTGAGCATGGTTGATTCATAAATGAGCCTCTTTATCGTAGTCCAATTTTTGAGTTAAATATTATTGCACGGAAACAATAACGCACTTCTCTACGAGGATTGCGTGCGGAATCAGCGAGCAGCGTCCTAAGATTTATGAAATTTAAAGACGCTTCTGCGTGGCGTAAAATCAGTCGTTTATTTTTTTATGATTGAATCTTAAATCGAACATGTTACTATGCCGTGTACTTCTATTGACTTCTAAAATTCACGGATATAATGTATTCTCAAAGATAAAAGAAGAATAAAGGAAGTTTTATACGTGACAACTGACATGTATTCATGTAGCTGTACGATCCTGTTATAGCCTAAAACGATTATTCATACATTTTGCTTCATTCGCCCGTGCTGAATAAAAGTTAATTCAATGTTTTATCTGCGTCAATAAATAATGGTCGAATACTGTTTACAGCAACAATGCCGGAGTACCTACATCTGTGACGTACTGCGGTGAGAAAGAAAGGATACGAAACGAAATGACATAATAAGATGTCGGTGCCAACGGTACCATATCGCTAATGATTACAAATGATTGGACCGCTATACTTGCGCCGACCAAAAGAACGAGTTTCGTGATCGATCGGCTACAGCAATATCGCTCGATTCGATTTGGAATTTGCCGGCGTCCTCCAGAATTTCTTAGCCAACTTTTCTCTTCTTATATCGTATAACGATATAAGAACTCCCGATAATAATTCAAAGAAAAAAATGTTTATAAATTAAAAGTAAAGATTGGACTGTTGAAAATAATTTGTTTTATAAAGTTTGTTTAATAAAGAGAGAAGTTAGGCATTTAACGACAAAAAAAAATAATTTATCGATTCTTTCTAAAACACGCACGATGTTCATCACAATTCAACATACACAAAAGAACAATAACCAAAATAGTTAATTAATGTCAAAATGAATAATGAGGAGCATATGCTAATTATCAAGAAGAAACGAAGATTTCATGTTCCTAAAAATTTAAATATCTCTTGTTGTTGGAATACTATTGAACCGATTATCGCTCAAGAAATCGGGGCATCCGATTACACTGCGATTCCGAATTGCTTTGACACCAATGCATATAAAATTGGACATATTTTTGTGCCAACGAGCACACAAGTAATGGATAATAATCATAATTTTTGGCATAATAATAATAATAATTTTGGCTTTATATTTTAAGTTATCCTTCCATTACTCATAAAACAGATAAAACGTTTCCGCCCCGTGCCAGTTTTGAAAATACTCGGACCAATCCGTGATTTTGTGGTGAAAAACGAGACGAACACCAAGTGGCTTGATAAGAAATTTCATAGCGTGCGAACGTCTGGAGATCAAATGCACTTTCGGGTGAATATTCATAAAATTATAAATTTATTAAAAGCCCAGCATTAATCAAATTGTTTAGTTGATCATTTCCCGAATATTTCTAAATGTGTTTGTAGATAATTTCCGAGAGTGGAAAAAATCAACTGAATTTTACTGGTAATGATTATTATTTTCTGAATAAAGCACACGATATGCTGAGCCAAGGAAATGTGACAATAGATCGCACATCTCATAATGGTATATAAAATATATGTATACATATATATTACTCAATCAATATAATCTTTAATAAAATATTTAATAGTAATATATGTAATCATTTAATAATTCATTTATTCACGATCTCTATAGATTTATTAAATATTACATGGATTGGGTTAATAACAGACGTGGTTATTACAAAAACCTCCGAGTTTCGTATTGTTAAAGGTAAACATGAAAGAACTCTGTACGTAAGCGAAACTGAACATACTATTTTTTTCAAATACGAAATATGCAAACTCGATCAGCATGGGGTCGTAATAGAATCTGTAAGTTTTTACAACAATACCTTACATTGAAAAAAAAATCTCAGTACCATAGATTTATTTCATTTCGTCAGGAAACGAAGAAAATACGCTGTAAATGGTTGCCAATAGGAGATAAAAAATCAGACAATCTTCCATTAATCGAATTCCAAAGTTTAGCCAACAAAACACGATAGTCCTTTTTGCTTAAGAAAACAAAAGATATATTTATATTCAAAGTTCTTTCTTGTAATTTTTTGCCATTATATGTCATCCTTCATATATATATATATATATATATGTGTATATATATATATATATATTTATATTAGATTATTTATACGCTTAATAATTTATCGTTTTTCTTCGAAAAGATCAATCTTACTCGCGACAATATATTCGGTCACCTCAAAATACCAGAACCAGTTCATTCCAGACGTGATATCTTTCCGCTCGGTACAGAACAGACCGTGACACTGATGACACCGATGAGAATGCGGTGAGATACCGCACAATTTATTTCTATTTTCCGTATGGTGTAAGTATGGATACAAGTGGACACAAGTGCACGCAAGTACGCACGAACTCGTCGTGGTAGATCGAACCCGCGAGATATCGACTCCCGGTTCCGCGGTCGAGTCTTGTGCGCATCGCGGATGAATTATTGCGAGATCGGTCGGAACGCGCAAAATTCAATAACGTTATTTCACCGGCGCGGTAAGAAAAAAGGGGGAAGAACAAAAAGGGACAAGAGGGTGATGCACAATCGTAGCTGGATTGAATTATCAGCGTTAAATTCCGCGTTTTATGCATGCGACTGTTCGCCTGTCCTGTCAACGCTGCCGGATGGAGACATTATAAATGTTAATTGCACGAATTGCACAGCTATCGCGCGCGACGTTGTTATTTTTTTTCCTCTTTCCTTATATGTCTCTCTTTTTCTTTCTCCCTCATATACCTCTCTCTCTCTCGCTCCCCGCAGTTCTTCTCATCTCTTGCAGCGTCGTCCCCGACTTTGCATCTTCTTTCTACCCGCGCCCCCGCTATCCCATTTCCTCTCTCTCCATGACGCACCCTTTCCCCTTCGCATGAGACTGCATTTGCATCTCAATCTCGCCGTTGATTTAGCAGTCGTCCAGGGCCATCATTCTTGCCGCGGGAAAGGTCGACTTTAGTATTTTTAGATTAGCCGGTCGCGATATATGCAGCTCCTCGCGCAGCACTTTTTCGGGGAGCGTGGAGTAGGATGAGACCTTTCTTCGTCTTTCCTTTTTGGCGCAAGAAAGAGAGTCGCGCACGTACGAGTGTCTTAAATTGTAGACAGGCCAGGGAGAAACCAGGAAAACGATCGCGAAGGAGGTCGACTTTTGTCCTTGAAATGAGCAAATGGACGGGGGATGTGTCACACGGGTCAGTGGCCCCTTTTTCTCAGCACTCATGCGGCACTCGCACTCTCGAAAACGAGTTGTCATCCGTGTCGTAACTCGTGGAAGTCGAATTTGCGTGCTGCTTACACGGTTGGGTCCCGTTAAAAATACAAGTCGCTTTATATGTTATACAACAAGAAGTACAGAATTTGAACATGGATTTCTTTTGTAATAAACAATTAGCTTTTAAAAAAAATTTTTAATTTTTAATTAATTAACAACAATTAAATTGAATCTTAAGCAATAAACATAAGAAAACACAATTATTGTTGAACGATGTTTGATATATAAGTTCGATATAAGGATCACGACAAAACATTCAATTTAATGTGTTCCACATTTTATCGAGATTTATGATCTAGCTACTCATAAGGGCGTAAAAACGTCGAAATTCTCGCAGCGTCTCTTTATTTACGAAAGGGCAGCGACATCGTGGGTCACACAATAAAACGGCGTTTATTACGGCACAGCTCCCGCATTGCGTCCGTGCTGGAGCATCAGTACTATATCATCTTACAAGTTAACTTTTATGACGGCCCACCTGCCGCCATCTTGGAATGCGTAAATAAGCGCTATCTTGATCTTAATGCACTCGCGATCTCACTGCAACCAGATAGCACGGCTGCGACAAAAAGTACAATGCGGTCAATGTACGAAACTGAGAAATCAACCGGAAGTTAAATCGATGCTTAAGCCAATAAAACATTAGTCCTTAATTTTAATCTATAAAAATATTTTTACTTAAAATTTTCATAACTTCTTTATATACTTAATAATACAATTGATTGAAAATTTTCATCTTCAACCACTTTAGAATAAGTAACTTATTGTTGGAATAATTTTTGTATAACAATTTCAATGGAATAATAATTACATATTTAATAAAAAAATTAATTTAAAAAAATAAAAATTTTCAACTAATTTTTTCATTAAATACATAGTTTATCACTCCATTAAAATTATTACAAAAATTATTCTAAAATATTGAAATATACAAAACGACTTTAGGAGCAGTTATAAAAAGCGAATGAACGGGTACAAAAATAAACGGGCATAAATGCATAACAGCGTATTTACGTACAAGGATGTCGATTTAGCTCGCATGTTGACAGCCACTTGCTTAACGTACATAGAGGCGGGTGCATCTAGAATGCAGGCTGTGCAGTTGTACCATCGACACTCGGCACGACTTCCGGCAGGAGGAGCGGAAGTTGTCATCGTTAGAGGCGCGTGCCAGCCACGCGACCAGTCGCGCCTATATTCGTTTTACCTCGAACCGGGGAATTGACGTTAACGGGACGATCGTGCTGAAATGATAATTGCGCTACCAATTCCAATTCACGATCGTGTCCGGTGAAAAGTAACCGGAGACGTACAAAATAAAGTCATCTTGGCTTCACTTATTCATCAAAATTGTTTGGGAAAAGTGAGGTCAGAAGTGTTTAAAAATCGAAGTGTTTTTAAAGTATATTAAAGTATATTACATAATTTGCAACAGTATATTAATTGATAAATGCATAAAAAAATATTTACATGCATAATAATAATATTGTCAATTAATCTAATTCAATATTACGTTTGTTAACGCTCTGACAGTGCACTCTAAAGACATGTATGTAATAATAGAGCAACGTAGAGCAACGAGATAGTAACAATAATTTAATACCGTCTTTATCATGAAGATTGATAAGCACGCGAATCTCAGCAGCACATAGTATAATCGAGCTATAATAATAATGTAGCCAGGAGAATGGCTGTACGTACTACGAAATAATAATAGCCGCGTGGAGTGCGGATAATAAGGAAGCGGATAAATTATTTTCGAATTACACGGTTAGCGCTAATGCGCTGATCGTGCCGATTGGTAGCTTCTTTAGCGATATTGCGTACTCGTGCTGTCACGTATTCCAAGAGCGTTTATCATAAATTCTAAATCGAAATCTGACAGTTGTAGAAATGCGGATGTGCAGCCAAGGTGTTGCCTGCTAGAACGTTATGCGATGCGCGCAGGCATAAACAATGCATATATCTGCTGGAGAGTCAATAATTACGAATGTCAACCGTTATCTTAGAAATCGTGCGGGTAGGTGCCTTGCGCAGCGCAACGACGTGCGACCTGCGTACACCTGCGCCGTGTTGTGCGCGTGCCGATGCACTCGCTCTCGCAGTCACCGCACGCAGCCGTGCAAACACGCACGCACGCACACGGAAACGCGTGTCCGCGGTTTCGTTTCCACGGCGGAGCCACGAAACGAACGTACGTTGCTCCGAAACAATAGTTGCCATGGTGAAAGGTACCGGCAACACACACCCGCGCGCGACACCTGATTTCAACGGGGCCCCAGCGGAGGCACCGCCACGAAAAAGGGAACAAAGGGAGCGCGCGAGACCTCTTGACCTCGCCCGCGAGAAAAGGGAGCTGTTGCTCCACTTTTCAGAACGTTTCACGACGACTCTTTGTCGAGCTTCGTTCGTGAGGCAACCATTTCGCGTCGCCGCTTGAGAATTTAAGATGAAAGCGACGTCACGGCGACTCAATCTCGCCGAGACGACGAATTGTGCTGGATTCTTTAGCGTTTTGATGTCACGCGATATCTTTACGACGCAACAGTACTTTGCTTCCATTCACTTTGAAAAAAAGAAGAACTACATTCTCAGTTTTCTCTTTTTTCTTTTGTCGAAATTAGAAATTTCTTAATTTTTAAATAATCGTCATTAGTTTACAAAATCAATTAAGTAATATTAATTCAGATAATTTTTCCGAGATGTAAAAACTTCAATAATAATATCGTATATACTGACGTTTATAAATAATATTAATTATACAGTACTTTGTTTCCATTCACTTAAAAAAATATAAGAAAAATAAATGCTTAGTTCTCTTCTCTTTTATTGAAATTAGAAATTTCTTAATTTTTAAGTAATCATCATTAGTTTAAAAAACTGATTAAATAAGTATTCTATAAAGACATTAAAACTGCAATAATAATATCACATATGTATTGATGTACGTAATGATTAATTCGTAATGAATACATAATGCAATTTAACTCGCTCCATAAAAAGGGGAATCTAAAAAATAACATCCATCTGCAGATCGCGTCGACTGTATGATAATAACGAGCGGATGTGATAATGCGCACTGTACACGAATTAATTTTATTGTTTGACTTCGAGCGATGACTTTTGTATGCTTATCCCACGAGGGCTCCTCTGTTTGAGGACCTTCCTGCTACCTGCCAACAACGGCAGTTCAACGTGTCTCATTACGTTTTCTTTTTTATAACGGCGATACGGGTAGCGTATTACCTACACATTTACCTTTCGCCGTTGAATAAGACCGATATTAATCGTATTTTCGCTCGGAGCAAGTAGCAAAAAATAAAATGTATCATAAAAAAAAAACGAGAAAAGAATGCAAGATCAATTCTTGATGCGCAAATCCGCGCCGTTCCGTTATGCTCAGCATCTTCAGAACACCTCCGTAAACCCCACCCCGACTGATGTCGGCCGTCGATACATTCGAAATATCGGTACCGTGACGCGCGCAACCGCCATAATCCTTCTACATTTAACATCCGAACGCGTGGGTATCAACATGCAACCCGGTGACGATTTACATTTGCGATTTTCACCCTCCGGCAAAAATGCCGGCCGACAATACCGTCGTGATATCGCCAGGATCTGGCTATATGAAAAACGTCTTGCGTTTATGCAGCCTCCTACAGCCCACCGACAACTATTTATAACCATCCGCATTTTCTGCAATGTTCACGCAATGTACTAATTCTTCACACAGAAAGCAACATATATATTTAATATTATATAAAGTGATATTATATAAAGTGATGAGTGCGATAAAAATTATGATTCTTATTAAATGTTATAATATCGCAAAAGTAATTAGAAATGAGAGAAATGTAGGAAATCAGAATAAGAAATTCAGAAAATGAATAAGAAAATCAGAAAACTGCACGGTTATAATGAAGTCATAATGTGCATTAAGTTGTAGTCAAGATGTGCATCAGTACACGCATGGACACATTCGCAGGATATATTTTCTGAAAACCTGCTTCAAGGTGGCGGTTTAAGGTGCACCACCACCTGCAGCCACCACCAAGAGGTGGGTACCTGCGGGGTAGCAAGGCGGCGCAGTCGAGCATGATTCCTTCACATATGTTTACGGAACACCAGCGGTCAGAAATGCGTGCCGCAGGAGGACTCGTTGCTGGCGGAGGGGCCCTCCACGGAGGACCTGCAAGCTCCTGGAATCACGCAAGCATGAATCCGCTAAAAAAAGGAGCTCCTGCACCTGCAGCCCCCAAGACGGGCGCAGCACTTATGTTAACCGTGCGTGAATCCTCGGCATATGATGCCGGACAACCCTTCGCCTTATCCTTTCGTCAGTTTAAAATAGTTCTTCGCAAGTCTCAAAGGATTATTTTATAGTGATGTCACAACTTCCTAAATAGAAGGCTATCATTTATCTTATATAACGCTACGTATTGTATATTAATTTAAATATTCAATTTTTTTATCTTTTCACAGACTTTATGACCCATTAGTTTAAGAGAAATTAAAATATTTCGATACTTAAGTAAGACTTTGAAATTATAAACTGCTCACAGAAAATTGTAGTAATATTGAAGTTTATGATTTTATTCTGCATTTTTCTGCGACTGACAATTCTTCATTATGATTTATAAAATTTGATGTAAGGAAAGATGTCTATCCGAATTCTGATGTTCTTGCATATTTATGGGTATGCGAAACAATAAAGAGGATATACCTCCAGCAGCAGGTCTTGGGGGTCAGTCGGCCATGTCTCCACCCTGGAGGGTGTTCATGAAAGTGGTGATGGCGTGCACTCACAAGACCGTGACAGACAGGTGACACGCGCCGGCCACGCGCGCCCGTTACGCCGTGCAGGCGTTTGTACATGCACGGAAGGTCAATTTGAGAATAAACAGTTGGAAAATGGGCAAACATTGGCAGGGCACTTACGCATTGACGTTGCCTTCTTTTATTCCCGCGTAATGTATCGATGTAACGCCCAACGCTCTGATCAAAACGTGTCCCTCTATTACTTCATTATGTCATGTGTTTAATCTTCTAATTTAAATAATAGTACGTTAAATGGATGCGATATTGAATTATGAAATATTTCAGCTATCAAACAATATGCTTTTAATATCATTTATCAAATCAAATATGTTTAAGATTCATTTATCCTAACGATCCGTATATCGCGTAAAAAAAAATACTTGCCATTGTCAGTAAAAGAAATTATAAAAGTAGAATTATGCTGTGTAATTTTCTGGAAATAAAAAATGTATAAAGTTGTAATTGAAAATTAATTAAACGATTTTACAAAATATTGAGATATCAAATAATTTTATATAATTCTTGACTTACAGATTTTCTCCTGTAATAATTTTTCACATTTAAATATTAAATCATAAGTAGAATTTATAATTCTTCCTGAAAAAAGAAACAAATTTAATATTCTCGATACATATTTCTATCTCTTTATATACAAAATTTAAATTTATTTATGGCGACAAAATTGCGAGACTCAATCTTGCTAAAAAGCTTCCCAAAGATGTTCTTAGAGACGATGTACTTAAAGTAATTCACGAACAGGTTTACATACTTTTATCGTGTAATCGTAGACGAGCGAATCGTGTGCAGTGATCGAGGGCAGGATTACGCCCTCCGGCGAACGGAAGTATCGAGATGTGGCGTGATAACGTGAGGCTCCAGATCGGTCCTCCGTGATGCTGAGAACCTTAGCCGGTTTAGCTGGCTAACGGATAATTGCTGGAACGCGACTTATGTTAGATTGCTTAGCATCTCATATGGTTACTGTGCACGTAAACTAGACAAAGATTATAGCCGAAGAAATATTTCTTTTCGTGTCACAAAGTTGGAAAAATTTATTGTTACATATTAAACATTATGCTATTAAGCATATTAAAGTAAAAATATAGATCTGCTATTAAGTAGATATTATTATAGGTATTTAAAAAATTTATAAAAACATTTTTTAATAAATTGTATATCAAAATATATAACAGATAGATAGATAGATAGATAGATGTACAATATATTCCAAAAGTTTGATCAAGCCGACGATCCACGACTAGCTTATTGACCAAAGGGTCAAAGAGTTCGTACCGGCAAGTACCGGCAGTGCTTTCGTAGAGAATGAATCGTCCTATAACGGTTACCGTAACGTTGTTCTACCATGAATCGTGAGTTAGAATTAGATGATAGGTATCGTTGTTCTTCGATCTCGTTTGAACGTTGAGTGCCCTTCTGCCGAGTCATCCACGTGAATAATTGACCACTGATTGTAGTCTCCAAACGAGATCGAGGATGCGACAGTACACGAAACGTATTGATCATTGTCGAATTAATCCCGCCGAGATAGTCGAGATGGACTATCTCGATGACCTCTCCAGAGTCAATATTCGCAGCTCTATTGTACCTTCCGAATAATCCGTCTTCGGTTTTATTACACGGCAATCTCTTTGAATAGTTGTGATAAAGTGAATAAATTAATTTTTCAAATACGATTTACAATGTGTTTCATAACGGATCATAAATAACAGTCGGAGCTATGCGCAGTCAAGTAATAAACGCTATTCTTACGCAGTTTTAACCTGCACACCGCGAGCTATTATCTCGTTATATGGCATTATAATCACCTGCTATAATTTAAGCCTGCAGTTGCTCTGGCCTCGCATATATACGTACGCTCGCCGGGCGTGCCGTAAAACACGCGGTGGATATAGGGAGTTTCCGTAAAGCTGTAACCAAACAATACGAAGGCCCGCTTTCACGCGTTCCTCCCGCGTCAATCCGTCTCATGATCTCGCGCAGGGCGATAAACATATTCGCCTCTCTCGTAGCGCGCGAGATATCCGCGAGACGTCTGCGCTTAACGGCGGATAAAGCATGACGGCGTGCTCGCGGCCATATAAACCTCAGTAGTAGGTACCCGGCTGGATATCCATAAATCTATTTGATAGTAGAAAGTCCTTCCATTATTCTCTCCACTCCACGGACTTATCCGCTTGACTCTCCGACACGCGGGCCACGCTCGATACGTAACTCCTGCGGGGCAATAAAGGTACCGGTATGACGGTATGTATTATCGTAGGACGAAGGCTGAAGATGCCCCCTTCCCGAAGGATACGCGACAAAAGACACGCGCAAAGATTTAAAGTCACAATTCGAGAATATTCGAATTAATATCCAAGTAATTACAACTCGTCTTATTTCTACAGAAATTTCACGCTATTTGTTATTACACTAATATTATAATATCTCGATAAAAGAATAAAATGATTATTATGTAATTATATAATTATTTGCAGGGTGAAATTAATATTTAATTGCCTTAAGAATAAATAATTAATTAATGAGGAATCCACAGCTAATTTGCTTCCTGCTACGAGCATCAATTATGATAATATCTTATATACCCCGAGATATTTCCGTGACGATAAACCGGCGTCACGGCAGTGGCGAAGATATCGCAAAAAATGTGTGCATTAAAATCCCACTTCGTAACGTTATAGGCAATAAAGCGACTTTATTCCGGCAGAGCGGCATCTCCTCCGAGGTCGCAGAAGTCGCCGCCGGAGAAAGCACTAATTACGGAAAAGAAAAGCATCCGGCGTGATTTGGTCAAACAGCGCGGTTGGTCCGCAGTCCGCATCGTCTGCCGACGACAGAACGTGGACGATTGCACCGTCGCGACTGGTCGCATCTTGTCGCGGCAAACATTAAACCATGCCGTTTATGGGTTTGATACCGTAAATTCACAACACCGTAATTCACAACATTGTCCGTCCGCATTATTTACAGCTCGCTTCGTTACGTACCTGTCTCGCTGCTCGCGGTTCTCCATCATTCCTCCTCTCGGTATCGCGCTCTACATCGAAAGTGATCTCTACATGGAAAGAAGAAAGAGCAAGATTTTTGATAGACACGGAGAGATGCTTGTCATACAGGAACTATCGAATTTCCTTGTGCTTTCGAACGACATGTCACGTATATGCAACGTCGGACAATGCGAAACTGGTGCCGGTGCGGCGATCGTTAAGTGAGCGTAAGGCGTAATTTAGGGCTGATATGTGGACATTGACGACAGGGTGGGCTACTAGTTGGGTCGTAAAGCGACAAGCGAAAAATTTGTCGCTATTAGTATACGCCCTATGTATGACTAATACATAAGCGAAAGTCAAGGCTGCATGTTTCACGGTGTTTTATTAGAGTAATGGATATGTGCCAACTGCACAATGTTAAAGGAATGTTGCTATAAAGAAATAGCTTTCTGCAAAGAAGTACGTGCTCTAATTGGAAATCTACTAGCTTGATCAAAAAGTTTCCGGAATTCATTGAGAAAATTCAAAATACAAGTTTATCAAAAGTGATATTGTCCCCTTCAAAGTACTCTCCAGCGACTGCAACGCACTTATGCCAGCGCTTGATCCAGCTCTCGAAACATTTCTGGAACTCTATTATTGGTATAGCCATCAGAGCCGTCTTCGATTTTTCCATTACCTCCTTTCGGCTGTTAAAACGCGTTCCCCGCAGGTTTTTTGACTCGATTGAACAGAAAAAAATCGCAGGGAGCCATATCGGGTGAATTCGATGGCTGTTGGATGGTATTCGTTGTTGCAAACTCGTTGTTGCAAATTCAACTCCATTTTTAAAACTGTAAAAAATCGGAAACACGCGCAGAGGTAGATGTACTCAAGACGGCGTAATTTTTACAAATGTCAAGCTATGGCGATAAAATTTGATGGAAATGTCAATGATAGATGTGGCAACCTAGCCAAAAAAAAAAGAACTCAAATCAGCTGACTCAGAGCATCACCTGGTGGTCACTTCCGGAAACTTTTTGATCAAGCTGGTATTAAAACAATAATATAAGAATATATACAATTTCATTTGTTCCTAAATTATATATCAACTTTTTTTACAAATCATTTGAAGTTTTCTGTCTATTGATTTATTGCAGCTATCTTGGATTGTGACATCAGAAGCGAAAAAAATATTTAAAAAATTTTTGCATTTTATTTTATCATTTTTTATGATAAAATAAAATGTAAGTTTTTTTGATACAACGACATTTGCACTCGATACAATAGATTTGTAAAATATATAGACAGCTTTCTGTTCCGGTTAATCAATAAATAACCATATATTTAAAATTGAATTATGTTTAATCAGAAAACGAAATGATTTATATGATAGCTGTCGAATTGAGATAAATATTTATCTCAGGGTTTATTCTTTTCTGAAATAAAAGAAGAATTTTTGATATATACTTTAAAGTATATATTCTATCAAATGCAAATATTGTTTTATTAAAAAATATTTCTATTTTATAATATAAATTTTTTTTTGCGAGAATATTTTCATTACGTATTTTC